GCTCAGGTACCTAAATTAGTGTGTTGTTCTCTAACTCTTGGTCTTTGTGGTCTGTTACAACAAAAATATCTAATTCGTGGGTGGTTTGTACAACAGATATTTTTCATAATTCTGAAGACTGGCTGGCCAAAACCAAGGCACCAGCAGATTCTGAATCTGGTGAGGGCTCAGAGCCTTCACAGCAAATTCTTGCTGTGTGTTCAAATGGTAGGATAGGCAAGGAAGCTATCTAGGATCTCCTTTTACTAGCAACACTACCCCAAAAATTACCTCCCAATATCACCTCAAATGTTTAGATTTGAATGTACAAATCTGGAAGACAAGTCATTCAGACTGCTTTAGACCACTGCCTGTGAATAGATGACCTAATACCATTATATACACACATAAACTTAATAAAAAGTTTCATTTTTCTCTTTCTGCCGTTTGCCTGAGGAGGCAGGCCTCTGTCTCTTTCTCTTTCTCCTCCCTTTCAATAAACTTTCCACATTAAAAAAGTTCTAATTTTACATGGCATCAATAAATGTAAGCCTTTGCTTGTACTCATCATGCTCAGTGACTCACCCAGAAAGGAAGAGGGCTGAGGAGAGCCCCAAACACAGCCTGCTGACCACACCAAGACTCCTCTGTTCCACCTGTCAGAGTCGGCAAAGGAATAGAATCCTTGGAACATGGGATTTCAATAAAGATGCCTGGCACTTTGTCTAGCCCAGTGCAGAATATAAAACACCCATCAAATCTGCACAGTGCTTTCACAAGATAACAACACCTCTTTTGGAAGGTGGCTCAGCATTTCTGGGAGGCACCTAACACCTTGCACAACTCAGGCTGCATAACTTCCTTCTGAGAAATTATTTTACTTTCTATGTAAGGACCAAACCAGAGGCCACTGCAAGTGTGATCATAAGCAGACTACAAAATCCAGTTACCGCAATGGCTTCCACACCTTATGCACTCAGCTCTTCTTGCTTTGGGCAACTCACAACACTGGGCTCTAGCTGTGTCCTCCAGATCTCCTACCCCACCTTCATACCCTTCATGGTACGAATGACACAGCCTGCCCCAGCCCTACTTTGTGCGCTACCCGGGCACAAAATCTCTGGTAAAGTGGTGCACGTAAACACACTTGCCTTACACAGTGGCAGGGCCCCTCCTGTTTATATCTTGAGATATTAAGAACTTCTCTCATGTGGTCTGGGACCGAGGAAGAATTCCAAAGGTACTATGGCCTAAATTTGTGTCCCTTATCTTCATTTATGGAAGCTCTATGCTCTAATAAAGTGGCACTTGGAGGTCATTAGGCAGTCTTGGCAGAACTCACACATGAGATCAGTGTCCTCAGTAGAAGACCATTCTCCCCAGGCACCTTTCTTTCTCTGTTGGGTGATGACACAAGCAGAGAGTCATTTGTTTATAAACTAATAAGACTTCACTAGGACTTGATCTTGGACATCAAATCAGCTTCTAGAACTATGAGAAATGTGTAGCTTATGTTACCCAATCTGTAGTGGTTTGTTATAGCATCCTAAGCTAAGATAAACAGCCAGCCCAGTCAGAGATGCACATGGTTCTTAGCAGACGTGAGTTCCAATACCAGCAAGTATATGAGTTGAGCCCTTCATTCCTAGGACATGGGTCTCAGCCCTTCTAGGGAGCACTGATACAACTAACTCACTCACCAAAAGTGTTCTAGTGTCACTCTAAAATGCAAACCACAACCCCCAAAAAACAGTTTCCTCTAACAAAGGCCTAGTATCGCTAAGAATGTAGCCCTGGACTTCATACCACCTACTTATGACATGAGCACACACAATAAATAACAAGCTGGGCACCTATCTATGACTTCCATGGACCCTCCTGGCCCCTTATGCTGTCTGGTGTACTTATGGAGGCTACCCAGGTTCCCTGAAGAACATCACTGGTGTTTAACCTTCAACAGAACACATAATTCTGTTTGTGCTCAGACAGCTGTCCTCCTACTTGACTGTTAGCAGGACTCCGTGTTAGGCTACCCCTCAATTCATATGCTGTCAAATGCTGACAACCGTGTCAAGCTGAACTCTGACCCACTCACTCACCAGATTAGCGTGGGAGACTAGCATTGGGAACAGACTTGGGGACCTCTCTCCAGTTCAGGAGCCACCTTAGCACAGGGGTATGTGGCAGCCCTGGTAGATTGTAAGAGCCCAACCACACATTATCCCTCACTCTAAGATGCCTGGTGGTGCTTAAAGGAAGACAAGAGTGGAACCCAGACTATACAGTTCACTAGTAAGTGGCAGGGCCCCATGAACCCCTCCCCTATTTATAAAAGCACCTACTTTGGCCTGTTAATATCTACAATCTTTCCTTTGGCTCTTTGGGACGCTAACAGTCAGGAAAAGGACAGTCTTCTGTGATATACTGCCCAGATGCCCTCTCACTGGGCTATGGACACATGGCCTTTATCCTGGATTTTTATGGCTGTAGACCGCCACACTGCAGGCTACACACCTTCCAAGACAGCCCCACAAGACTAAAAGCAGAGCAGGAAGGCATGAGCCTTCTGCCAGCCTGGTGTCAGCTCTAAGAACTGAGCAAAGGCTCTAAGGGGACATTCTCCTCTAAGTGTGATCATCCCTCAGCTTGCTTTCTTCACCTCTCTCTACTCTATTGTCTCCAAACAAGCTCCTGCCTCCCCTGTTAGAATGCAGTCTGCAGTTCTAAGTCCTAGACACAACCAAAGTTTCCTAGACCCTGTCCATACTCATGAAAGACATCTTCACAGGAACCAACTTTATGACCTAGGACAATCATCCCAATTAGAGCAGTCTTACTAAACTCAGACTCTTTTCAAAGTCCCTAAAGGGATTTTTCTCTGGAAAGGTTTTTCACTATGATCACCCTGGAGCTATCTGAAAACTCCCAGGCTCAGGATGGGAGGAGACTCTGTCAAAACTCTCTTTTCTGTTAACTTGCATTTCTGCTCTTTGAACTGCAGTGTTTAATCTGTTTTCCTAGAGCTTGCCTCACCCCTAAGATGTAAATCTGGCCATCCTGCTCCAACTATTGCAGGCTTCTTAGCTTAAATCTCAGCTCTTCAGATGGAAAAGGAAGCACCATCCTGGCAATTACCTCCTAAAATGCTTGCTATGGTTTGATCCACAATACCTGCTATACTCTGAAGATGCCCAAACTCATATTAAAATCTAATCCCCAGCCGGGCATTAGTGGTGCACGCCTTTAATCCCAGCACTTGGGAGGCAGAGGCAGGTGGGTCTCTGTGAGTTTGAGACCAGCCTGGTTTACAAGAGCTAGTTCCAGGACAACCTCCAAAGCCACAGAGAAACCCTGTCTCAAAAAAACAAACAAACAAACAAACAAAAAAAAGAGGTGGGGTTTTGGAGTGATTAAGTTATGAGGGCTCTATTCACATGAATAATTCAGTGCCATTTATCTTGTCTTCTGAAGGGACCAGTGTCCTCTCCTAGGATAGAGCAACCTGGTCGCATCTCAGAAGCAGAGTAGAGTTCTCACCAGAGACCAACACTTGTCTTTTTCTTTGACGGTGGGATTGGAGCCAGGTCCTGGTACATGTAAGGCAAGTGGCTTTATCAATGAGTCCAAAACTGCTTCCTTAACCTTAGCCTCCCTGACTATCTAAATCATGAGAAAGACGCACCTATTATCTACAAGGAATATACATTTTTTCACAGCAGTTTAGTCAGGATGTGGCCTCAAGTGCTTGGTGCACTAAAGCTGCTATTAACCATGATGGTGACAATGTGAAGAAGCAACAGTTTGCTCTCAGCTGACACCTCAAGACTTCTTTGCTACAAAATAAAATACTCTGCTCTAAATCGTGCAACTATACCCCCAAACTCCTCATCCTGGCTCTCCTGACTCTGGCTGCCTCTACAAATAGACCCTGAGGGTTCTGAAAAGTAAATGCCATCAGGCTCACCCAAGTGAAGTGCTCCAGGCTATATTCTCCCCTCTGGAACTTACAATCTAGATTGTTCTGGACTTATAGGCAAGAATGAGATGTAAACGTTTTTTTACTTTTAACCAATCATCCATAAGCTAGTCAATATTTAAGCTAATTCAAGATTTCAGTCCAGGAAGTTCCTAAGAGACTCTGTTGAACCTGCACAAACCCACTGCCTTCAACCTCTGCACCTCCACATGTGAAGGCCTCTGTAAGTGTGTAAGTGTACATCTGTGCATCCTTGCCCTTCCCACACACACAGAAACATGCAAGCCACACATATACCACCCCCCACAACACACAAAAGTAAACCCTTTATCAAACAGTTTTCCTTTACAAACATGGACAGCAACTATGACCTTAGGATACAATTTTAATGATTCAGTGAATTCTAATAATAACATTACAATACGTATTATTAACAGCTCATATAGCATTTGTGATTGTTGTTGTGCCTGTGCACTATGATAATTCTGTGAACAGACACCCAGCTTTTCACAGGATTCCTAAGCTGTGTCTTGTATGAACAAGGAAATGAGCCTAAGACATTACCTGTTCCAGGCTGGAACTGCTGTGCATCTCACAGGAAAGGGAACAGCAGAGAAAAATAACACCAGCACCCACATGCCTCAGGCCTGCCAATTCCTACTGTCTTCTTCTTTCCACAACATAGCATAGCAGCAGAGCCAACAAAGAGTATTCGTGGTGTGTCAGACACCACAGTTCTAACACCATCTCCTTCCTAACACAATCCCATCCTATGCCTGGTATAATCCTGTCCCTGTAAGTGACAATCAATCACATCTCATTTTATCTTTTTGAAACAAGGTCTCTCCATGGAACTCGGAGATCTACCAGTCTCTTCCTCCAGAGTGCTGGGATTAAAGGCATGCCTGGTTGATACTCATAGTTAAAATCATTTTAAAGAAGAATTTTCACTCAATAGGCTACTTTACATCCATCCCCAAAGAGGCTCCAAGCAAGCTTTACTTTGTTACAGGGTATGAAGACAGCTTCCATGGAGGATTATTACCTTTAACAAGCAACTTGTCTCTCACAGAAACCCTCCGAGTGGAGTCAGATGTGGAGGCAGATGTCCGGGATCCTTTGAGACCGTCATCCCGCTTCAGCTTGCTTGCCAGCGTTAGCATTACTGCCACCTTTCTTCTGGAAGACAGGCAAGAGTAAGACTAAGTAAGGACCTTGTCTCCAGACAGTAACTGGCAGGAGAAATACACAGGTGTTTTTACTTTAGATTTTTCTCTAGAATGTGTAGAAAATTTCTCCACTTATTAACAAAACTGAATTCCTTCACCACAAATGTGAATAACCTATGTGAATCTTTGTTAAGTTTAGGCGAGCCACAAATTTCATACTCACTAGGCACAGAATGGGTGCTAATTCAATCAGGATCAAACCTCACCCATCCCCAAGCTTTCCAATCAGCACACATTCACTGCCCTCACTGTTTCAAATGAAGTAACTGGCCCTGCAGCAACGCAATCCAGGTAGCCTGGGAGCAGAAATGACAGCTGATGCTTAGCTTTCCTTCTCCCTTGGAGAGAAGTGTGGAGTCTTCAAAGGACTGTTGCATTTACTGATCTACAATGTCAGCATCAAGAGCAAATTATAATACCCTAAACTGGACAGTCTTCACTGGCTGCTTCCAGCCCCTGGGAGTTTCAGGTTCCCTTGCTCCCTGGGAAGGACAGCAAAATCCAAAGGCAGGTGAGGTAATGCGCCTGACGGCCTACATAAAGGGTGAAACAACTGCCACCCACTCCTTAAGCCTTCAACTGTTAAAGCAGCATTAGAGCAACAGAACTGTTGGCAGAAGGCACAGGCACTTCCCATGTTCTCTGCTCCCCAGTCCCACGATCAGCATTCCCTACAAGAGGCTTTATTTATTCTAACCGATGGACCTGTGTGTGTGAAGGCATTAGCACCCAGAGTACAATTTACATTAGAATGTCAGCAATTCCTACCTTCAGAATCTATATACCCTTCCAGCAACCAGGCATTCCTCATACTTGACACCCTCAGAGAGGGACTCTATCAAGAGTAAGTGAACAGTTCAATATTTGCATGTTTTTAAATTATTTCCTTTCAATAAAGGTTTGATATTCTTTTTTTCTTTCTCTCTCTCTCTCTCTCTTTTTTTTTTTTTTTTTTGGTTTTGCCAGACAGGGTTTCTCTGTATTGTTTTGGAGGCTGTCCTGGAACTCGCTCTGTAGACCAGGCTGGCCTCGAACTCACAGATGTCCGCCTACCTTTGCCTCCCTAGTGCTGGGAATAAAGGCGGGTACCACCAATGCCTGGCTCAGGTTTAATGATTTTTCAATCTAAAAATTTCCAGGTGAAAGCTTTACCTAAGAGGTCAAACTTGAGGCTTAGGCCCTGAAAACAAGGATATTCCTCTCTTCACTGGTCCTTTAAAACATGTCAAACTCAGGTCTTCTGCCTAGTTTCTCATGCCACCTTTGTGCATCCCTAGTGAGGGTCAGATTTCATTTTGTACCACATATCACAAAGACAGTGAATATCATCTTCCAAACTGTACATGGCCCTGCCATACTGAGGACTGGTCACACGGGTTACAGGGGCACATACCTGCAACATCAGTATTTGGGAGGCTGAAGCAGGAAGATTTGTCAGTTGGAGGCTAGCCTGAGCTACAAAGGGAGATCATGTACCAACAAGCAAAATAAAAATACCAAAACAAAACAAGTAGCATTTGTCTAAATGCACCAAACAATTCTTGTATTGCATGTTAGTATGAATAAACTCATAGCATTGAGATCTGGGAAAGATTCCTATCATGTGCGTGTGCACGCATGTCCATGTGGGCCCTGGAACAAAAGGCATGGAGGGTGAGTGTCTAAAACACTCAGCTACAAGAAGCACTCACCACAAAAACCTAGTTTTCCCCTGAAGATGTGTTGTAAGTGTGGTCACGGTGTCGGGTTTACACACTGATCAACCATGAAGTGATGGGGCAGTTCAATCGTACTCAGTACAGCTGGCAAACATCTGAAAGCACACTAGCACTGGCTTCTTCCGCCCCACTCTACAATGCCTTTTCCTCAGGGAATCTACTGAAGAGATGAGCCAAGTATGTACACACACATCTTCCAAGTTTTTACTTCAGACACAGAGCTATGGTTCTACTGCTAAGTCACTTCCCCAGGGAGGCTTCAGTTCAAAGGCTAACAGAACAGCACAACACAGCAATGCTTTCCTGCCTTGGCCAGCACCTGGAATGATCTTGTCAGGAATTTCTCTAACGGGACTATGAGGCAGTGTTTGCCTGGCCAAGTTCAAGTCTAATGCGCTCTGACCCTGGGACATCAGGGTTGCCTGACAGCATAAGGACCAGTGAGTAATATGGGATGCTCTACATGGGGAGCATTAGACTTTCACCTTTGATAGCAAATGGTGGACAAGTGAAAAACAAAAGTGATTAATAGTTTAGTAGACAGTCCCCTGATAGTCACAATAGTTTTGTGGAAAATTAGCCGGGCGTTGGTGGCACAGGCCTTTAATCCCAGCACTCGGGAGGCAGAGGCAGGCAGATCTCTGAGTTTGAGGCCAGCCTGGTCTACAGATCGAGTGCCTGGACAGCCTCCAAAACAATATAGAGACACCCTGTCTCGAAGCCCCCACCCCAAAAAAAAAGAAAAGAAAAAGAAAATGAAGCCAGGGCACAAGCCACTCCACACCCTGAGGAGCTGCACTGCTCAGGGACCTGGCGATGGTCAGGCCTTCTCAAGCCACACTGATGCTGCTCTTAATGCTTTCCCTCACCTACACGGAGGCCAGCTCTGTTCTGGAAGGTACAGATTCTAGCTGGTAATCCTCAGTAAATTGTGCACTTTAAATGAAACATGCTGGGTAGAAAACACTGGTGCTGTTCCCACAGAAAACAATGTGCCCCTTCTAATAGTCTAAGGCTCGTAAGACTACAACAGCCACCGATTTCTCTATCATCTGTACCACTTCACTCTCGAATGCCACAGGAGGAACAAACCAGCCTCAATCGAGAAATGGCTCCATAATCAGAAAATTAAATCTATACAAAGGGAACGAAAATAATTACTCAAGCTACCTAAAGGCTAGCAGACCACCTGCAGTCATTTCAGAATTCTCCTCAACACATCCCACCTCTGGAAAACCTGACTTCAACCCGAACTTCCCGTTTCTTGAAAATCACACTGACTAAGGCAGTATTTTGGGAACAGATCAGCTATTCTGAACAGCACGCTCAGTCTGTGAATTCCACAAGTTGTAATTGGCCCAGTTAGTTCCTCCTCTGGGTGGGACCGACTTTTAGGCCAGCCACCAAAGATGACTCCAGCTTGTTATTTACCAGTCTCATCAATCCTGTTTACTCAGCATTCCTATGTGCTGTGGTGAAATCAGGCCCGTGTCACCTGCCAGTCAGCTCAAGGTGAGGCTAACTTCCTCACAAACCATCCCAATCCAAGTCCCGATGCAACCATTTAAATCAGAACTACAGGTCACTAGGGACACGTATTTAACCTCCCAAGCCTAAGGAAACAGATGAGGACATTTAGTCCACACCCCAGTGCCGTACTGTATGGCAGTTCCCAGGCGACTCTTGCCTACCAGGTTTACTGACAGCCCACCTCTGAAGCCCATCTTTGATTTCGGGTACCGAATGCCAGGTAGTTCCGCCCAGGTGGGGTTCCTGAAGCTCCCCCATCACTATGTGCTCTTAATTCCCAACGTGTCTCTCTCCCACTGCCCAGCTCCTGTCCCACCAGCTAGGGAGCCTGGGCACCAGGCCCACCAGCCGCCGCCTCACTGTCTATTCAACAGCAGCCTGCTCATTTCTGGGACCTGTGTTCAATCTCATCACCAGGTCTTGGGATGCCCTCTCTCCCTTCACCACCTAGCCCTCCCTATCAGGCACTTAGGGAGAGCCAACTCCCAACTACAGGCCAAGCTCCCCGGCACGAAGCCTTCTCCGGCCGCTCCGACCCACCGGCAGCGGCGAGGGGCGGGTCCAATGCCCACCCAAGACGGAGGAAACTGAGCCCGTCGGGGAGAAGGCCACACCCGAGATAACTCGCCGCGGCACCGGGTCAGGGACCGAACCGGACCAGGCGGGACCGGCCGCCCCTCCTTCCCGCTGCCGCGGTGGCGGGCCGCGTTCGCCTCCTGCCTCCCTCGGGGGGGGCAGCGGCCTCCCCGCCGTGGCCTCGGTCTCGCAGCGGGCCGGAGTTCGGCACCGTGACCTTGCCGAGGGCGGCAAGGGGTCCGTCCGCCTCGGCCCGGCCCTCAGAGCCACAAGGGGCTCGCTGCCCGCCCAGCGCTTCTCGTCAGCCGCCGACCTCACGGCCCCCGCCCGGAGCCCGGAGGCAGGAGCCGCGGCCGCCGCTCAGCCCCCCGCGACCGGCTCACCTGAGCACCGCGAGTCAGGCGAGGCGGGCCGGCATCCAACACCATACCCGACTAGCGGCGGCAGCAAGACACGATAGCACTCACAGCCGCACCGGCTCCCGGCGGCGGGACCGGAAGCAGAGGGGCGGGGCCTGCGCCGTGACCGCAGCCGGCGCTTTAAAAAAAAAAATTCAAAGCTGCGAAGAACTTTATTGGCAGCCCCAGGCGCAAACAACCGCGCGCGCGGGTCGGACTGGGAGGCCGTCGCTCATTGGCGGAGGGCACGACCTGAGGGCGGGCCAAGGGAGAGCCAAGGCTTTCCGTGATTGGTCACGGTGCCCGTGCGTCCCAGCGTCCCGCCTTCTGGAATGTTTTCATTCATTTGACCGCTTGAGGGCTTGGAAGTACTAGTGTAGTGCCTGAGGGTGGAGCTGTGTCCCTTTGCCCAGCACTGCGACGGAATGCTTTTGACCCGACCTGCCTGCAGCCTGCCCTAGGGCTTTGGGTAGTTAGTACTCCACGTGGCCAGTGGGCGTAGAGGCACTCTTCTTGCTCCTTATTTTTTAATTTCTCTTACTTGGTACTTTAAAAATATACTTCAGGGCTGTGCGTTGCTGGCGCATGCCTTTAATCCCAGCACTCGGGAGGCAGAGGCAGGCAGATCTCTGTGAGTTCAAGGGCAGCCTGGTCTACAGAGCAAGTTCCAGGACAGCCTACAAAACAATACAGAGAAACCCTGTCTCGAAAAACAAAACCAAAACAAACGGAAAAAAAAAAAAAAACAATTACTTACAGGCTATGGTCCAGCTAATCCAACAATGGCTGCTTTTGAACAGAAGGTCCAAGAATCTTGAACAGAAGGTCCAAGAATCAAGTGGTTAGCCCATGAGGCTGAATGTCTTAGCTAGTCTTCAGTATAAAGTAGACTCTAATGCCAGTGATGAACTTGCCAGTGAGGACAAGAACAAGCAGGCAAAGAGCTTTCTACCCTGTCCCTTATGTAGGCTACCAGCAGAAGATTTGGTGATTAAGTGGCAGCAGATACCTGTAATCTTAGCACTCCACGCCAGGCAGTGGTGGCGCACGCCTTTGATCCCAGAACTTAGGAGGCAGAGGCAGGCAGATCTCTGTGAGTTTGAGTTCAGCCTGGTCTACAGAGTGAGTGCCAGGACAGGCTCCAAAGCTACACAGAGATACCCTGTCTCAAAAACAAAAACAAAATCCTAGCACTCCAGAGGCCGTCAGATCTCTGTGAGTTCAAGCACAGTCAGGCCAGTTGAGTGAGTTCCAGGATAGTCAGGGCTACATAGAGAAACCATGTCTGAAAACAACAATAAGCAATAATAAATAAAAAATAAAAGTCCCTAGCAGATGTACCCAGCCTTTGGGTTTTAGTTAATTCCAGATGTAGTTCAATTGACAACCAAGAGTAGCCATCCCAACTGCATGTGTATAATAAACTGACTCTCCCAGTTTTGCTTTCTTGAAGAAAAGGACTAAAACTGTGTGTCATATGCCCTTCCATTTTGAAGCCTTGTTTCCTTTTGTCAGTCACTAATCAAGATCAGCTTGTGTTCCCTGCGTTTCTATGCAGCTGACAGAAAGTACCACCCTTGGGCTGGGGCTACAGTCCAGTAGAGGGTAGGCTTAGCATGTTGGAGTCCCTGGGTATAAAACCGGTATTATAACAGCAACAAAAACGTGCCTGGTGACATATTATTTATAATGTATTAAAGCTTGACTGAGGATTCAGAAAAGCAAAGTCAGCCACAAGTGCCTTAGAAGCCAGGCAAACACCTTTAATTCCAGCAGCCAGAAGCTAGGAGGTAATGGTACAAACCTTTAATCCTAGGACTCAGGATTAAGAGAGAGATGATCTTTGTGAGTTCAAGGCCACAGAGGTCTACACTAGAGTAAATCAGTCTAAAAGAATTATAGCTCACATCTTTAATCCCAACATTAGGGAAGTATGTAAGACAGAAGCAGAGTCTCAGAGAGGTATTCATTCTCCAGTCATGCTAAGGAAAGTTTACAGCCTGAGGTTTGGTGAGAGCTCTAGGAGACAGGACCAGCCCATTCAGTCTGAGGTAGAGCTAAGAAGCTAGTGTCTGCTGGGCATTGGTGGCACAAGCCTTTAATCCCAGCACTTGGGAGGCAGAGGCAGGCAGATCTCTGTGAGTTCGAGACCAGCTTGATCTACAAGAGCTAGTTCCAGGACAGCCTCCAAAGCCACAGAGAAACTGTCTCAAAGAAGAAGAAGAAGAAGAAGAAGAAGAAGAAGAAGAAGAAGAAGAAGAAGAAGAAGAAGAAGAAGAAGAAGAAGAAGAAGAAGAAGAAGCAGCAGCTAGTGGCCAACTGCTTTGCTTTTCTGATATTCAACTTGAAGATTGGACCCCAATAACAGTCTCTGGGTCATTTATTTATTGTGTTACACCTCCATTTACAGTTTTGTTCTGGTAGAGTACTTCAGTTACTTAGGGGAGGGAGGCAGGACGTGACTGGTAGGCTGCACATAGCTGTTTAAAAAACTTGCTTGCCAAGCTGCAGAGATTGCTCAGAGGTTAAGAGCACTGTCTTCCAGAGGTCCTTAGTTCAATTCCCAGAAACCACATGGTGGCTCACAACCATCCTTAATAAGATCTGATGTCCTCTTCTGCATACATAATAAATAAATAAATCTTTAAAAAGAAGGGAAAAAACAAGCAAAAAATATTCTGGAACCTGGAAGTATGCTGATTTACTTGCAGATTTGAGTAAATTGAGAGGCTCCTAAATTGGGTTTGTCTTGAATTATCCAAGTGACTCCAGTGTAACCCAAGGATGCTCATAAAGGGGGGGGGGTGTGAGTAGTCAGCAGGTGGAAGGTAGGTAGGGGGAGTGTGTGTGAAGATACAAGCAGTGTTGGTCAGTGTGGGGGAGTAGAGTTCAGGTAGCCTCTGGAAGCTAAAACAGAATTTCTTGAGCCTCAGAAGGAACTTTACTTTGCTGCTGTGGTGCAGCGTCCGCGCCATAAGCAAGTCCAGGGTATCAGGAAAAGAAAGGCCAGACGTCCAGCTGTTTGTACTAAGAGAATGCATGTGTTGCCTTTATTGCCAGGAGAGAGAGAGAGAGAGAGAGAGAGAGAGAGAGAGAGAGAGAGAGAGAGAGAGAGAGAGAGTGTGTGTGTGTGTGTGTGTGTGTGTGTGTGTGTGTCTTCATTGCAAGTGCTAAGAGGTCTCCCTCTTGTAAGAGGGAGGAGCTTTATATACAGGTTTACAGCACAGTGGAAAAACCCCAGGTAGAAGAGAGCGTGTTTTCCTCCTGCTGAATGTTGATGTCAGAGGGCCAAGGCTGGGGCAGTAAGCCAGGACTAGAAAACAGGAAGCACTTGGACTGGAAAACAAGTTGCACTTGTAGGCTGACCAGCAACTCACAGAGACCCAGAGGGGTTGGGGCCCAACACTATGGCCTAAACTGTGTGTTCTCCAAACATGTTGAATTTCTAACTCCACTACCTCAGAATGGGACTTTGCTTTGGCTTTCCTTTGGAGGGAGGGTCTTTAGAGTTGAGGTGGGAGTCAAACACTTCAGTGAACAAGATAGAAACATGAACATCCATCCCCGGTCCTGAGATTTGTTGTTGTTGGTTTCTGCTTGTTTGTTGGTTTGTTTCTTCAAGATAGGGTTTCTCTATGTTGCTTTGGAGACAGTCCTGAAATTCCCTTTGTAAACCAAGCTAGCCTTGAACTCACAGAGATCCACCTGCCTCTGCCTCCCTAGTGCTGGGATCAAAGGTGTGTGCCCTCACCACCCAGCTGTCCTGAGTATTTGAAACTATCTGGGATGTGTCAGCAGTCTACATCTCTAGGGGCTTTCTGCTGTCTCTGAAGATGGGGGAAGAGTGACAAGCCAGGTGGAATGACTCTAATCAGAGCCGCACGAGTCACTCAGCACTGAGAACGGGCACCACTCAGGTGGCATCCGTGAGGAGAAGTCACCATTTAGAACGTGTGTTACCAGCAGGAGGCTGCTACTCAGTCCCTTAGGAGGCTGTTACTCAGCTTCCTGAAGCTGTGACAAAATGGCTGAGACAAAAGAGAGGGAGGGGCCGGTAAAATGACTCAGCGGGAATGAGCGCTTGCCACCAAGCCTGGTGACCCAGTTCAATACCTGGAGCCCAAATGGTGGAAGGAGAGAACTGACCACTGCAGGTTGTCTTTTCACCTCTACTCAGACTGTGACGTGCACAGTACCTACACATAGAAACACAGAATGCAACTCTAAAAAGGAAGAGGAAATGGCTCCGCAGCTAAAGCTTGCCACCTTGCCACCAAGCATGGCCACCTGAATTGGACGCCCAGTAGCCACATGGTGGGAGGAGAGAGCTGACTTCTGAAAGCTGCTCTCTCTGACTTCCACATACAAGCCATGTACACACACACACACACACTACACGCATACATATACACACTCACATACACCATATACACATATGCACACATACACATATGCACATACACACACTACACACATATACACATACACATAAACACACACAAACACAACACATACGCATACACATACACACACTACACACATATGCACATACACATATACACACACAAACACATATACACATACACACACTACACACATATACACATATGCACATGCATACACACATACATAACATATACACACACATACATACACACATATACGCTACACACACAACACACACACAGACCCTTTGAAATTTTGGCCTCATGATTGCACTCTTATCCTGAGGAAGTAGTCCAAGGACATGGAGAATCCTGGTGGGAAGATACCCATTGTGTAATGTTGAAAACTTGGACGCTGCCTCATGGAGCACTGTGGATGGTTAACTACGTTACCTCAAGTTTGCTTGTGGTAACGCTGTAGAGCTGTGCGCCTCAGTCATTATGCAGACTGTGTGGAGCCATGGAATTGCTTATTAAATTAAATAGCACCATTCAAATTGCATACGATGACTACAGTCTAAAAAAAATGTAAATCAGAGAGTAGAAGAAAATGAACAGAAATGAATGTAGTATTTGTGTAGGGCAGGAACATTTGGGGTGAATTTTCTCCTTTCATTGAAAAATTATTTTTTATTATTTGTTATATGTAGATATGTGTCTGTATGTGGGTATGTTC